AAAATTTTCTTCAAGCTATCGCATCACCATGTCTCCTCTAGGCTTTGGGAAGTTTCACACTGTTCTGAAAACCATTATTAATAATCTGAAAACATTGCTGCCTTTCCCCAAGCCATTAGTTTCTAATATCTGCCATTATATCCTCTGTCTGAAGGGGTGAAAGTCTAATACCTACACATAATTTTTTGGCTAGCATTGCTTGCCTGCAAGCTTTTACTATCAGTCACACAACAAGTAACTTCAGAATACAATTTTCAGGCTGAAGTCTTTCAAGACAATGCAACTTTATTGTCCTTTTCTAGATAGAGCTATCATCCTTGCTTTTTCCACTTCACAACACTGCATGTGCAGCAAACTTCGTATTTTATTCTTGTTGCCCACATGTTCAAATATAACTTAAATTTGGCCACCAGCAACACCAAAAGATCTTGTGGACAAAAGCCAAGCATGAAGGAGCACAGGTCTAGTAGGCCACACTGGCAAAACAATCTGCAGCACAGTGAACAACATTATCCCCAAAACAAAGCAGTACCTTTGGGATGTACTGATAGGAAAACGCCAAATTAAAAGAAAGCACCGAAACAGAAGCATAAGCAAGTGCATTTTAACACTAAAAGCAGGTCTGCATCTTCTAAGTGGGGAAGGTTACTGTCTGTTCTGACATTCGGAAATTATGATCCTGTTCTTGTTATGCTACATGTAAAAACATACTCAAAGAGTATACTCACAGTACTGCTCTCAGGCTAACCTATTAAACTAACTGCGACTGCCAGTTTTCCACCTAGAATAGCCCAAGTTGAGTCCAAGCAATCAAGAACAGGCAACTCTTCTAAAGAGCTCTAAAGTGGTTATTTGCAGCTTTCTGCAAGTCATAGATTAGTACCCACTATAAACTTGGTTCTACTTCATTACAAATGCTATCTGAAAAGCTTGTAGGCAGCCCTATCCTGATGGCTGTCACCAGCTTTAACAACTGTATTATAGTGACTGAGAGGGAGCTTGTATACAGAAGAAAAACTGCCAAACAATTATTGAATTAATTTCTAATAATGCCCAACTACAGATTTCTCTCTCTCTCTCATTCAAACACACAAATCGATGCACAATGGTCCAACAAGCATGCTTTGTTTAGTGCAGGGTGAAAGGACTTTTGTGGGCAAACAAGGAGTTACTTATTGATCAGCAGAGAGCACGTAGTTCTGAAGCAGGTAAAAGATGGAGGAGGCACTTACCAAACCTGCCAGGCACAACTTGGAACTGAAGCCATCAGGTAAATATCTCCACTTCTGCAGGAAGGTACTAAAGCCAAGAAAGGTTCATCTGTGAAACAACTCGTTTTTAGAAGCGTGACGTAGATGTACCGTGTCAAAAAAAACACGTGAACAGGCAAAAAGATGGCAGAGAAACCTGGGCTTTCTTTCAGAAAACATTTAAGAGAAATACATCCATGTGTTTTGCACTTGACGGCAGCTCATATAATAACACATTCTGCCTAACTGTTTTGTGGCGATACACACTACAAGGCAGTAAGGATATAAATCACCATTTCAGACTGCTCTGGTGCTAAAGGCTTGAGAAGATACATAATCATTTTGATTTAAACCTAAACATATTCACATGTATTAAATCTGTATTTTTCCTTAGAAGAAAAGCAAGTATCCTTGATTAGAATTATGTGTTTTTCCCCAATGTTTGCCAAACCAATTATTTACCAGGGCTCAACACTATTTGCACAGAAATACTGTATTCAATGAATGTTTTCGGAGAAAAAGCAAGTGAATTTTTGAAATATTGTAAAATCCCATTTCAGTGCATTAACAAATTTGTCTAGAACCACTGGCTTTTGGTCTGAAAAAAAATCATTTTAAGGAACAAAAAGAGAGAAAGATAACTTAGCTTCCTCTCTTCAAAAATTACACTAATAACGTCTGACTCAAAAATTTTGGACTGATCCAAAAGATGCCTTTCTTCCTATGTATTTTTTTTTCCAGAAAATTTCCAGTTTAGTTCTGCAAAGAATTTTGCTCCCACGTTAAACCATGTTTGTGTCTTCTGTGTTCCAGGTTGCCTTCTTTACTAAAAGATTTCTTTATTTGCCCAAGCTTATAACTGATATGCTAAATCAGACCAGCTGCCCTTGTGCTAAGCCAGCCTGGCAGCATATTTGTCTTCAACTTCACTTTCTTTCTGTAGAGAATAAAAGTAGCAAGAGTATAAATGCCCACAGCATGATGTTAACCAGGTGATACAGGACTGTAAGAGTTTTCAGCTAGGAAGATTTTGATTTTTTTATCGCTAACCGTTGTTGGAAACAAAAGCAGATTACCAAGACAGCCTGTTATCAGGTTGCATACATATCTATGTCAAACAATAGGTATATTTGGGATAAATTAATTTTTATTTCTTTCATATGGTTGCATTTTCTACATCCAGGAAACCTTTTTTTTTTTTTTAAAAAAAGTAAACTTAGAACACTTTTCACAAGTTACTAGCAGGGATTATTTTCCAACTGAAAAGCAGATAAGTGTTCCAGAAAGAAACATGAAGTAAGTAAGCTTTTAGCATAAGACATTAAATAACACCTGTCCCTACAGACTTGACAAAACCCAAATCCAAGGCAGTCCAGTTCTCTAGCAATGGATCAAGTTGTTTGTTAGCAAGTTAATTAAACAAAGTCCACTTTCCCATAGCTAAAAATGCAGCCGCAGGAGGACAAAACTGAAGTAGCCCCCAGTGCTAAACACTATTTCCACCCTTCATTATTTATAGCTTAGAATTTGTTTAGACTAAGAAGACTGTCCTGGTTTAGTGGCTGGCCCAGCCCTAACCCACAACAAAGATCAAGTCCAGAATTGCACTTCCCATGCTTGCTTGGAAATTACTGCTGATTTTTAGTTCTATGCATGTTTTTTATTGGAAGCAAGTACATTTTTTTCATATTTTAGAAGTATTTAATGCAAACTGAGGACTGGTTATCTTAACCAGTCTTGACAACAGGGCTTGTGATGGTTATTATTTGACATCTCTGTAAGGTTACTCCCTTTGCATCATAACCCATTCCCTCTGCGTAACTTTGGTTTAGGTTCAGCGGAATCAAAATTTCACCCACATCTTCACTGCATGTGGCACCTGTAAACTAGAATGTATGCAAAAATTCAAGAGCTAGAGAATCTAAAAGGCAAGAAGAGAGCCACAAGGACTTTAAGATGGGCAGTAGGAAAATGATGCCAGCAGGGCAGAACTTCTCAGGAGCTATTTTGATATTGAGGCAAAATTCAGACAATTAATGGCCATGTAGGATTCACCAGAAGCTATAGCTGGTGTTACTATGTTTGTGTGTGTTTACAGCAGTTCTATATCAGGAATCTTCACTTCTAATAGGATTTTTTAATACTAGTCCCAAACAGAAAAAGGATTAACATACAGTACAAGCGTACCAAGGTCCAATTTGTTCGCTCAGGTACAGCCACTTTGATAGCTAGCCAAGCAGAGCACATATATCAGTCATGAAGCCCCAAGTTTTGTGATATTAGATATTTCTGTGCTACAAGTGCTGTAGGGCATTAAATATCATGGTGCTGATGGAAGTCATTGGCAAATCGCCTTCAGTTCTGCTGCTCCTCTGTTTTTCTGCTACAGACAAAGGTCTTCATCAGTTTACACTTTTAAAAAACAAAAAATAATCATGCCACTTACTTCTGTCAAGAGCTTCACAAAGAATTATGTGTTATTAACTCAACATACCAGAAAACAGTGAAAGACTGATTCACCTTCACAAAGGAGGAGAACAGACACTTTCTAGGAAGAAGGATGTTTCAAAAGATTGACAGAGCAAAGGAAAAAAAAAATATACGTCACTACTGCTTATTTTAAGTCATACTGCCTCTTTGCTTCCCTCCAATCCCCTCTATTTGTTGGGTGGAGGACAGCCACTTCCTTTGTTACCAAAAAACCCAAAATATCTTTGAAATTAGTCTGATAGGGAAAATCCTATGGCACGACTCAGTGGGTGTGGTTTTTTTAAAACAGGTTTCAGCTAGCATTACTCTTCACTTATGCAGACATTGCTTAAGATGTTGTCCAAAAAAGGGGAAGTGAAGATAGCTATCAAGAGGAAAGCAGATTTAAGCATAGTACACAGAACTTCACTGCAGGCTCCCACGCAAATAACAGCATGGTGCAGAGGACAGCCCAAGCTTCCTACCCAATAGTAAACCAAGTCAGCTGCAGACATCCAGGTTCACATTGTCTTGCAGAACGCAAGAGGGATATTTGGGAGACAAAGATGCTGTCCCGAAAGCTAAATGGAGTTTAAGTGACCATACATGTGTGTACACACATATGTAACAGTCCTTTCCTCCCATTTTCATTCATGGAAAACTTATATTTTAGAGTGCAGAAAGTGGCTGCTAAAGCCTGGCTGCACCCGCAATATCCAAATTCATAAACAACCCCACATATATTTAACCCCAAAAGGAAGGTATTAGACTACCAGTTAATGTAGTTCAGGCAGGTAAGTAATCGAGATTGAACCTTGCTCTCCCATAGGAACCTTTGCTCTTTAGCCCCAAGCTGGAATTTTATCATTAAGACTGTTCTTGCCTTTATTACAAGATGAACAGACTACCATCAAACTTTCCTAACAATCAAACTTTCCTAACAAGAGCATCACAGTTTCTTTCAGCTTTCAAAGCCCTCTTAAAGCTAGAGGAAACATAATTAGGAAAAAAACCACACAGATCTCAAGTGAATTTATATATGAAGAAAAACAAAATTTTAAAAATAATTCACATTTTTGGCAATCAGTAATGAAGCCAAAAGCATCAGGCTTCTACGAGGAAAGTAGATTTAGCTGCCAATATAGAAAAAAAAAAGTCTTCTGTTAAGAGGAAATTGAAAGAATTATGGAGGAAAAAAGAATCTCACCTCTTAATGCAGTGTCTATATAGGAATGAAAGTGATTTATTTATATTACACACAAAGATTTTTATTAAAAAGGCTGGTAATGGAACATTTTATTTTTATGCATCAATTTGATAAAACATTAGTTACAGAGATTTTGTATAATGTTGTGTAAGTCACATGGATGGGTTATTTAAAAAAAGATTTGATAATTAGAGGAGGACATCTCTTATTTTAGTTACATCGTAAAGTGCCTTGTGTAGTCATATTCTATCGTTGGAATGACTGCTTGTACAAATTTCAAGAAGATAAGAAGGTACCTGAGTTTCCTGTTAAGGAAAATAAGCAATACCTAAAAAATCTGTAAAACTATACAGAATTCACTTTCAGTGGTCTGCTCAACAGTATTTCTTGCTAATAGGAAAATAACACCTTGCAATTATACAATTAGAGACTGGGAAATTAATAGAGCAGTATTCTGGTAATGACATCTCATGCTTGCCCAAACATACAGACCTTCCTGTTTTACGTTAAAGCAGAGAACCAGGAGTTATTTTCAGTCTCTTGGAAACACCATAGAAACATTTACAAACCCATTTACATACTACATATTTGTTATTAACCATGGCTGAATTACCCCTAGCAAGGCTGATCCCTAGCTACCTTCCTGTAGTTGCAGGGAAAGCAGGCTCCTCCTCAGTGTTTCAGTGGCTCAGAAGAAGACACAGGTTCCTGTTCGGAACCATACTTGGAAAAGTGAATCTTCCTGTTGATGAGGGAAAGCAAAGAAATTAGCTTTGCTAAGCTGAGAAGCTTGTTTTTGTAGAGGAGACCCTCCTCATCTCCCCTTATGTATATCACCTTCAAATGCCACAATGAGCCTGAACCTGCAGGTCGAAGTATACTGGATAATTATAAATTGTCTCTGCACCTGGGACTGATGCAGAGAGCAAACTGAAAAATTCAGATATATCACTACTTTCAACTGACAGTTATGTTACATTGGTAGTAGATATAAATAAACCCTACTATTTTGACATGTCAGTCTCATGGACCATTTGTTGACAAACACAAATAATGATAACGAGAGGAGAAATTGCCTGTTTAGAAAGTCCCTCAATTTGTTAAGTAATAGCAAAAAAAGTAATCAAAATCTTGAAAAATAAGCTATTTCTAACTGTTGCAGAGTAGAAGACTTGAACTACCTTGCCAGAAACGTTGTTTTCCAGTTTGGTTTCATTTGTTTGCTGCACAAACTGAGCAAGTCTCAACTTATACAGTACATGAGAATTTTACTGCTCAGTAATTCCCCTTGACTGCCCTGTAGCAGAAAAACAACAGTATTTCGAAAGGACACACTTCTAACACAGAGGTCACTTCAGTCAGAAAGCTTGCACTCAATTATTACAAAGCACAACTAAGATCAGTCACCTTGCTAAAAGAGATTTCTAATGGTGAGGGATTAGATCTTGACGTTCAGAACAAATGCAGTAGTTTTCATGGCTTTTTTTGTCTGCTGAGCATTTTACTAAGATATTGTTCACATACAGAGTAGAGAATAATAGGACCACCACCTCTACACCTTTCAGAAATTAATCTCAGATTCAAATCTAATATAGTAGCTGCTCTGGCCGAAGTCTATGAACCGCCAAGCCTCATCCTCCCACACTGGGACCTCAGTTTCATACTCACAGCCGCTCCTTCACACATCTACAAACAAGGGCTCCGTTCTGCCTTTCAATACTACCTACTTTCTCGCCTGCTCCTGCCACCTCCCCACCCCAGATGATTAACAGAGTTTGTTTGTTTGCACAAAGGAGCTCATCCCAGAACTCTACTAACTGCTACCACAAAGAGCTGTTTACTGCTTTCACACACAACTGCATTCCAGTTTAGGAATCTTGAGGTAACAGCTCCTTACACTGCAAGAAGTCTCTAAGAATCCTGTGTAGTAATGAAAAAGGATACATGTGAACTCCAAGTTCTCCCCCACCTTCTGCAACAGTCTCGATTATTTTCTTCATGACTTCTGCATGCCTGAAAAACAGATCAGAATCAGTGACAATATTTTAAGGAAGAAGTACATTCCTCTTCAAGTCAACAAGATTAGCTTTTGTGCAAATTAAATAGTTTGGACTGTTAGCTTCAGAAGCAGCAAGAGGAAATTTTCCGCTTAATGAGGAAAAAAAATCCCAATAATAACCGAAAGCTACTATTAAGTGATGAATATAACGTTATGCGTCAGCCCCTTACATTCATAAGCAGAGCAAAAAATATTCTCTGCTACCACGTAGATTGAGTTCCATAATAAGAATCAGTATATATTGCTTGTCAGTAGTCTAATTTTTCACAACTAAATGTCAAAGAAACCACCAGGTCCCCAGAATGTAATCCTCGCCAGCATCAAGCCACCGGAAGTTCCCAGATGACCCCTGAAGAAGATGCCTAGAAATTCTTGCAACTTTTTTAACTGCCTCTGCTGCATTCTTAATTTGTAGAACTGAAGAGTTATCGAACACTTAAACAATTCATAGTTTCCTAGGAAAGGCAGGCTAAACCAATCCCATATAAGTTCAGAACTGTTGCTCCGGGACTGACTCAGGGGACAGAAACTTTCTGGTGGTAACTCGGGTTGTGCAGCAGATCAACAGCTTCTAAGATGGCTTCTTCTCTCGTGACTCTTGTTACCGTGAAGCACTACAAGGGAGGATAAACATTTCCTCAGGTCACTGTGTTTTGATATTTAAGTCATCAGTGACATAACAGACCAATTATGAATAATATGAACATGTGCATACAAAGCTGATCCTGGGAATATACCACAGAAACACAGGATAACGCGTTGGAAGAGACTAGTCATCATCCAGTCCAACCCTCCTTGCTCAATGAGCAGTAAATGAGAACAAATTACTCAGGATTACTGGTTTTGAGTATTTCCAGAGATGAAGACTTCAAATCTTTTAATAACCCAACACAATTCAGAAGTAACAGTCTCATGTTCAGGATTGTTACATGCCATAAACCAGAGGATGAAGAATATATCAATTCAGAGGGGAGAACTACTGTATGGTTAATTGATGTTTCATTTATATATTTTTAACACAAACTCCCAGGTCGCATAACTCATTTCTACCTTTATTTCAAATTTGGGTTAAATTCATGATTCTGTAGGCTACATTTATCAGTGACACCATAGAGGGCTACAGACACTCACCTACACAACACTGCAAGGTAGTTCACAGCTGTAGCTTAAAATACCCATCCTGAAACAACCTACATGCTGACTGAGAACAAGGAAGAGCAGTAATAAGAGTTTGCATAACTTTCTGACCAAGCTTTGATACCACTATGCAAATCTAAATAGCTAATCAGTAACTGGCATTTAGGAGTTACCTCCAAAGCTAATCATGCTGCCAGCAACTGCAAACACAAGGAAGGAAGCTGTTGCAAAGTTACCAAGACACACTGTAAACAGGAACACGCAAGTCTGGGGAAATACTAAAGGTCAGCATTTGTCATTTGCTGTGCTGTTGATCTTTGCAAACCTGGTAACCCTCACAGTTGATTCCAATCCTGGATCCTCAGGACGGCCCTGCAGAACGCATGCTGTATCAGGTGCCAAGGCCAGTTGCTTCTGTGTAGGAACCTGGCCACTGTCACGACTTCAGCTTTGACCTCATCCGTAACAGTGTACTATTTTGTGCACTCGCACAAAATACAGATCACCCTACAGCTTTTTAAAGTCTTTAACAGGCTACTGGCTCAACTTTTGTCCTGGTTTGAGCTAAACAAAATCAATTCTGTTCAGTGATTTTTACTTTCCAGTTTAGTCTCTTCTAAAAGGCTGCACTTTCTGAAGTCAGCAGCATGTTTTTGCAGACAGTGTGTGCTACTGGCAGTGATAACACCTGATGTTTACAGTTACTGCCTGGGACTGGGATGCAGACAGGCTCTTGCTTATACTTATTCCTACAGTGACCAAGGCCACTGCTGGCTCTTGTGTGCCACGCTGGGGGTGCCGGGTAGTAAGAGGGATCACAAGGAAGTAAAAGGTTGCACCTCTGAGGGGTAACAGACAGGACAGGTGACCAATGAGAGAATTCCTCTCCATATATGTTATATTCGGTACAAATTGAGTGATCACGAGAGTTTCTGCCCTTTTCTGCAATGGCCGGTGTCCAGGGAGGACTCCATCTGACCTCCTGCTTTTGATCTGGATCCTGAGTTCCGAAATCCAGCTCCTGTATCCAGCTCCCGCCACCGCTGAGTCTGGGGCTTTCCTGGTGCCTCCTGCTCTGCAGCACCAGCGGGGATTGATATCGGGGGGGTAGTCAGGTTCGATATCAGGCTAACATACATAGTTCTATATAATTCTTTATTTTTATCATTTCACTATTATTTCCATTATAGTTTCATTAAAGCTGTTTTAGTTTTCTAACCTGTAAGTCTCTCTGCCTCATTGCCTTTTCTTTCCCATTTGTGGGGGAAGAGGAGGTTAGAGAGCATCCATCCAGATTTTAGTGGTGAACCCAGCCTTAATCCGTGACAACTTCATACATCTTAATGACATCTGCTCTTTGGTGTTTTCTAAGGACTACTCAGATATCTGCAATTCCACAATGGCCACAACAATAGTAATTCCTTCATTACATTCATACGGTAACTCATGAAAAGCTTTGCAGGAGTTCTATAAAATTCCAATAGTTTGTTTTGTGTTTTCAATCTCGTTTCTTCAAGAAAATTTTGAGGAGTTAATATGAAGTATATATGCTCTCCAATGGAAAGAAATAAGATAACTTTGGAAAAATGTATTCTAGAATACCTTGATGTCTAGAAATTTTTTTTATGTCTGAACCTTAACTCCAGATGACTAAATATACTACATGCTCACTAATGCTTGTTCCAGGACATGTTTGTAGATCATCTGGGCTATCAAATGCATCAGACGTTTAAAACATCTACTAAAATCACCTAATTCACTTTCTGGTATATCAACCAACTCTTGAAGTGGTTCAAGTAATATAAATGAGTTATTATTCATATTCTAAGTTAGAAATATTGCCCTTTCCCACTGCAAACATATTGACATATAACAGAGTTAAAATCAGACATTAATGGGTTAAAAAAGTTGAAAGCAGCAGCTGATTTCTTAGATTGATTGGCTGACCTTTCATGCTGTCATGCTCTCACCAGGAATGTTTGCTTTTGGGCTGAAGAAGCCCTCTCCCTCTTTGTAATTGACCAAAGCTGTCAACCAAAATATTTGTAACTAAATTCATACTGGAATTCAGCACAGCTTACATACTGACATTGTCTGAGTATCTGCTAGAAGGATTAAAAAACACCATCAGAAAGTAAAAAACAAGTCTTCCTGACATACAGGGTAGAAATCTCAACACCAGAAATGATTCATTCCCACTGCCCTCTGCCCTAGCATTTCACAGAGATAAAAGGCCTTCGCAGGACATACAGTGTTGTGGACAACTACTATTTTGGATGGTGTACTTTAAAAAAACCGCAAGAACCACCAACAAAACAACCTATGAATTTGATTCAGTGTGTCTAGCTGTTCACACACAATGAGACAGGTGTGGAAAAACCCATAAATGTCATAATTAGGAGAAACATTCAGAATCCGCAAGAGTCAGTTATCCCTAAGATTTGCATTTCACTGATCGTTGCAGTTGCCTCCTGTCACTTCCCTGCAGGTATTTGGAGTACACAAGAAGGAAAAAGAGTTTGGAAGCCTATTGTCATTTATTCTGAAATTAAGAGAAATAAGCTCTTAGAATTATTGCAAGTAAGTCAGATCTAACTGTTAATGTGTTAGCGCTTCACTAGTCTGATAGTCCCTTCAAAACACACACATGCTATTAATGAGGAAGCTGACCATGTTCCTCCCAGTACCCTAAAAATGCTGACAATAAATACAACTTAGAGCAGAGCTGCAAAATGAACAGTTTCAACTCAAAATAGAAGCAATCTCATACAGCTGACAACAGCACCCAACTGTTTTATTTCCTATCTTTGACACATGACATAGGGATATACACGTCACAAGAAACAGCCAAGTAACTTCTGGACAATCCAACTACCCTATGGTACCGAATTCTTGTAACATGCAGGGAAGTAACAGCAGTAAAGCTAACTGAAACCCACTGGCACTTCCTAGCTAAATTTTCAGCTCTATTTTTCATCTCAGAAGCCCAGATCTTCCTACCTGTTAGCCTTACTGATTTGAGCAAATATAATAGCTCACTTCAGAGAGCAAGAGAACATACTTAAAACCTCCAATTTAGATAAGCTGTTAGCCTCTTTCTTTACACTCTCAGGATGACCTTTTTCAAATCTTTCCAATCTTAGGCAGTTGCCACTCAACTGCATTGCTTTTTGGGAAGGACTACACGGTTTCCTCCACATTTAAGTCTACCAGCAAATCTGTCTCACTGTGACATCAACCACCTCTTTCATGCTTGTAAGACTAACTAAACATTAAGTGCCATGACGCAAACCATTTCTTCAAAGATAGATATGGATTACATAACACAGGCACTGGCACTTCACTGGCTTCAGAGGAAGAAGTGAAAATGTGCACATGGAGCTCTCACCCATGAAGACTCTCAATCCAAATTCACAGACTAGCATTACATTGGCTCTTACTCTGCAAAGGTATTTAAAAATTAAGCAGCCACACCTCAGTATAAAACCCACAGGTCTACCTAGTCAGTGAAGGCTGGCATACCCAAATATCCGGTCATCTTTGTTTCTTCAGGAAGCACCCTCCCAGCCTGCAGCCATCAACAGGAGCTCCCACAGCATTCTCCTTCAACTTTTGCTCAAGGCGTGGACAAGTACACTCTGCTCTGGATAAAAACCTGGAAAGCCAGGCCCAAACAGTGGTTGTGAATGGAGTAACATCTGGCTGGCATCTGGTCACAGGTGGTGCCCCCCAGGGTTCAGTACTGCAGCCTGCGCTTTTTAGTATCTTTACTAATCATCTAGATGAGGGAATTGAGTGCACCCTCAGTAAGTTCGCAGATGACGCCAAGTTGTGTTGATCTGTTGTACAGTAGGGAGGCTCTACAGAGGGATCTAGACAGGACAGAACAATAGGCCAAAGTTAATTTTATGAGGTTCAACCAGGCCAAGTGCTGGGTCCTGCACTTGGGTCATAAAAACCCCATGGAAGTTGACAGACTTGGGGATGTGTAGTCGGAAGACTGCAATGTCAGAAAAGGTCCTGGTGGAGTTGGCTGATAGGCAGCTGAACATGAGCCAGCAGTGTGCCCAGGTGGCCCAGAAGGCCGAATAGGACCAGATTTTAGTAAAACAAACTGTTCTGATATGTGGTGACCTTGCTGAACACCTGGAAGATAAAACTGAACTAGACTTGGGTAAAAACAAGCTGTTCTGAACAAGCCACACAGGATAATGGTTGATGAATGCATTAAAAAGATCAGACTGAGAAACTGCACAGAAGCATATGTGACTAAGTTGCAAAGACAAATTTGTTAAGAAAAACAAAAATAATCCTGTTTGGCTTTATAGTTCAGATACAGAAAACTGCATATAAGCAGCTCTCAGGGACTCACACATGGCGAACTCTCTCAGACTCATGCACACATGCATACATTCACGCACAACTTCGCTTTTGCTCCTGCTTCTACTTTGACAATAAAAGGCCTTGCTTTCAAATTGGACCAGAGGCTGCCGTCTCCATCATCGCAGTGTGCCCAGGTGGCCAAGAAGGCCAATGGCACCCTGGCCTGTATCGAATATGATGTGGCCAGTAAGAGCAGGGAAGTGACTGTATCCCTGTACTTGGCACTGGTGAAGCAGCAGCTTGAGTACTGTGTTCAGTTCTGGGACCCTCACTACAACGGGACATTCAGGCACTGGAGTGCATCCAGAGAAGGGCAACGAGGCTCATGAAGAGTCTGGAACACAAGTCTTATGAGGAACTGATGAAGGAACTGGGATTGTTTAGCCTGGAGAAAAGAAGCCTGAAGGGGGACTTTATCACTCTCTGCAGCTACCTGAAAGGGAGCTGGAGAGAGGAGGGTGTCAGGTTTTTCTCCCTAGTAGCAAGCGGCAGGACTCGAGGGAATGGCTGCAAGTTGTGCTGGGGAGTTTAGGCTGGATACTGGGGGGAAGTCCTTCATTGAAAGGGTCACTGGGCACTGGAACAGGCTGCTCACAGCAGTGGAGCATTCACCATCCCTGGAGATGGTGTTGATCCGGTGCTTAGGGACATGGTTTAACAGTGACCCACAAGTGCTAGGTTAATGGTTGGACTCAATGATCTTCCAACCAAAGAGATATTGTCATTCTGTAATTATTAGCCAGATTTTCAGCTATCATTAAATTAAGCCTTGACTTCAGGCTTTTTCCCCTCCTTTTCTTCTATTAATCCTCTTGCTATTCAATCTCTTAAGCCTTGCTACATTCATTACACCTGACACGCCTTCAAAAACAATAGTTGCACAAAGAGCTGCATTCATTTTTTCATCCAAAACCCTCCAGAGAGCAAACAATGAGACAGTAAAAGTCACCAACAGGTTGACATACTAAGACTGGCATGTTCATATATGGTACAAGAATACCTTATTGGATCAAACCTTGTCCTGCTTATTATCTTACAGTACGTGTTCAAGAAAGAGACCAGAGAAAGTAATGCTTCTGCCAAAGTAACACTAGTTTTAGCGGTATGCAACCCGGGGAATTTGAAATTCTGCAGCAGTCTGATAATGTCACTTTTATCAAATCTTGACAAATTTTTCTTCTATTAACATCATATTGCTTAAATAAATATTTAATTAGGTGCTGTGTGCAGAGTTTAATCCCTTTTCTGGCTTTGAACATGTCAGCAGGGAGTAGCATTCAATGCCATCAGTTTTACCAAAAAATTTAAAAAATTAAAAAAGAACATCTATTACTTCACCTTCCGTGTCATTCATGGTCACTGAAATCCTAACACTCTCCTCAGCTGCCTTCTCCAAAGCTGAAGGGTCCCAGGTTATTCAGTCATGTCTTACTAGAAAGAGCTTCATAATCCCTCTGTACATTTTCCAGTTTTAGTTTTCCTTTGTCTCACAAACTACAAATCAGACGACCAGAGCTGTACTGTAGCATTCAATATGTGGGTGGTCCCACAGATTACTAGAGGCCTCATGCTCTTTTCTGTTCTATTCTTTATTCTTTTCCTAACAGTTTTGTAAGTTACAGAGCATGGAAACTGACATTTTTACACTATTGTGTTAGCGTAGACTTAGAGCATTTAAAGACTAACAATAAACTCGACCACTTTAAATTTTTCCGCAAGACAGCTAAACTGAGGGGAAAAAAACACACCCCTATGTTCCAGTTGTACAGTGGCTTTTCTGATCAATACTATCCACATAGAAGCATGACTGCTTGGTGAAAGTAAAGACTGTTGTAAAGCAGTATTAAAGAACCATGAACTGGAAGAAACATGAGATACAGATTTACAAAGCCCATGCTCATACATCCTTACAGTAAGATCAAAATTATCCATAACTACTTTATGCAAAGCTCCCTTGCATTCTCTCTCTCTCAAAAATTATATACCCATTTGATCATAAGAATAATCTTGGGAATACCTAAACCAGTAACAAGAATTTCAAGTCTGCAAAAATTACCACAAACTTGTCAACAACAAGCTGATCATTTGATACCTCAGTGACACGGATACCAGAAGTGTTGAAGTCAAAAGAAATTCCAAGACTTGAAGGGGTAATTTGGACTTCTTTTTTTAAAAAAAAAGAGTCCCCCAACCACAAAACATATGCAAGATTACAAAGGGTTTCTTTTTTAAAAAAATGAGATAAACCCCCAAACTGTTATCTCTAAGAACCTCATATTATCAAGACGCGAAGGAGCTACACTGTTTAAGGTATTGTCTCTGTATCACTAAGGCACATAGAAAGATGTTAGTGCCTACATCTAAGTCAAAAGGCACCTTCAAAGACCTTGAAAAAAATATCCATGTTTCGCACTTGTGTTCAACATTAGTTCAGCATGGCAATCAGAGGACCTCTATCAGTATAAAATTTCAAGGACTTCTGGAGGAGCAGAAGGAAGTTATTACAAAATAAGAAAGAGTTATTTCATGTTCAGATAGCTATTTCTGCACCCTAAAGACACATATACTTTGAGCCTTCCCAAAAAGCAGCACATGAAAGTAGAGAACACTTGTACAGAGCTCTAGTAGTCTGCCATCTTCTGGAGTCCATAGGGAAGTGGAGGAAAAGCAAGCTGACCAGAGAGAAGACAGCGTGCAGCACTGATCACTGGAATGACCTCAGAGAATCAGTGGTATCTTCCTTTCATACTCCCTCAGAAGCTAACAGACCACTATGGCAGCCAATTGTAGAAATATGTCCAGAAAACCTGAACCAAATCCTTAAAAAGACCAGTGAAGTGGCTTGTGTCTGCATGTTGAATTAGACCAGAAACAAAGACTTACCTACACGGATGCACCGAGCACATGGGAGGTGGAGGAAGGTGAGGATGGTTTTCAATGGTCACTGTTTTCTTAACATGATCTTGACTAATATCTTCATACATATGCTCTACTGTTAAAGGCTGCCGTTGCTATATGGGAAAAAGAAACATGAGCATTATTAACAAAGAATTGCTGAAAAGGAGTAAAAGATTCTAACTTATAACTTATGGTGCTTCACCTGTTGTTTAAGCAAGAAGAAGAATTGAGTGTGTTAAAATCTGTATGGTATAGAAATAGTACTGCACAATTATATTTTTTAATAAACCAGGTGAATTGTAAAGTCAATATATTTGAGAACCATTAAGCCGTAACCAATCTTAACCCAAGAACCTGAAGTCATTAAAGGGAAGAGTAATTTATCTAATCTGCTCCCCTCTGAAGATCACATAAACACATACCTGCTTACTTGACTAAGGTTACTGGGGTCATTACTAGCTCTAAAGAGCTAACAAATTGTCATTTGACAGAGCATGATTACCTTCCAACCGTGCTCAGTTACCAAGTACAATTTTCAGTGAAATTATTCCTACTACCTGCAAGTACTGTAAGTCTTGTCTGTAACCCTGACTGTATAATGGTTTTCTCACTATTTTTTCCTTTAAAATTCAGCTGTAAGCAACAAAATAGCCTTGCTAATTTGACACAGTGAGTCTAACTTCAGAGGTGGGAAAAAAGCCAACATAGCTATACCTCATCATATCCAAATAACCAGAGCCTTGGAGTTTGGTAATATTTGTCATAAGTGATGTAGAGGTCATATGTTCTAGTCTGTAGAATAGCATCTTCCCCTCCAACATCAACTTTAGCTTTGTTAGCTTCTACAATCTGTCTTGTGTCAAGCGTTGCCTGGTTCAAGGTAAAAATGACAACGTTAGTACAGTCTTGTTTGGGTTCCCTCTTTTCTCAACCTAAGTAGTTATGTAAAGCTGTAAAACTGAAATGAATGTTCTCCAGCATTTAAAAACATAGGCTTTGGGGGTTTGGTTTTATCTTTAAATTAGGGGTATCGGTTTTTCTCCCCCCACTTTTTTTGTTTTATTTATGTTGGGGGGTTTTATTTTTTTAAAAAAGGTTCAATTTCTTAAGGAAGCATGAAACTAAAGTCCCTCCTCCCTTCTTTCAGCAACCATTTTTGAATTCAGCAGGCAATTACAACAAATTTCAGAAGGCAGAGATCTCAGTTTATGCAGGTGCATGAAGACCTTAGCAGAGTACCACAAATAATGATGCCCTCTGTTTGCTCTCGTAACAGTATGGTGCAGTGTAATCTATTGAACCTAGAAGTAACTCATCTTCCACACGTAAGCCTCAAGAACAACCCCTGCATTTTGTACTTCTTCTGAACACAACACTGTGTGTAAACAGAATGAAAAGAAGCAGCAAAAAAAGCAAAATTACTGTGATCAAACTCTTTGGAGGCTTAAGAGCTAAGGTTACTGCAGTAGGCTGGCCAGAAACAAATCCATAGGAAACCAGGCTCAGTAATCCCACTGCTCACAAACAAGCTTGTTACATCATCCTTTTGTTAGGTGATAAGCATTATAACAGACAAGATAGAGAACTGTTCACTCACATCATCTGTCTCCAATAGCCCACTTTCTTCATACTCTGAAAAGAAGACCCATACAATTCTGTGTTGAGCTTGTAGCTAGTCATCACGTTTCTCAATCATAAACAACTCCTTTGAAACAATCTACAAGTATCTGAAAATGTTTTATTCAAGTAGACTTCCCAATCCCCAAACCAGACTATATGGGGTTTTTTTAATACAAATTTGACCAAGACTACAGTAAGTACATGATGAGCAATCCTTAAGTGGTTCTAAGTAGGTAGATTAAGTGTAGGTACAAGGCAGGAAGGAAGCTGTGTTAAATCCCCAATTTATACTTGCTTGGCTCTGTTCTGCTCCTCAAATTCATTTCCCAGTCACTTACATTCACACAGGTTTTGACACACAAGAGTAAACATGCACCAATAAGACTATTTTGTATAATAAAGAGCCTGATGAATTTTTCAGCATGCATTCCATGAAAAGGAAGAGTATTTTCTTAAAAGTGTGCTGCTTTAGCTAAAGGTCTGAAATAAAGCACATCCCACCCAACCTAGAGAAATACCTTCCATGTCTGCAGCTTCTCCTTCATCCTCCTCCTCATCATCTTCACAAGATGCGGAGCGCTCTGGTATTTTTATATTATCCTTCAGAAGTTAAATAGAAAAGACTGCTTTAAAGACTGCTGCATCTACATAGTGTAACAAATTTTAGGTTTAAGTCCAGTCAATATATGCAGTGAATCAGAAAAAGTAATTTCTGCAGTATTAAGGACTATGCTGAAGTCAAACATTTGCCTATTACCCAATTTTCATTTCAAAGTCCTAGCACGACATTAAAAATCTGCTTAAAAATTTATCCTCTGACTTAGTAATCTGGAATGAGATAATTTCTAAGCAAAGAATAAACATTGTGTTAAACAGCCCATAATTTCTTTTAAAAAACCCACCTATCTCACAGGAAAGGCAATGACTAAACATGTAGATCAAGAGACATGAATCACAATAACATTATGCAAGTGTTGTGTTTCACAGACACAGTGATCACCTCCAAGTATTCCGTAAACTGTTTCGTCCACCCCTGTTACACACTTGTAAATAAGCAGCGTTTTTACTGTATTCAGCAGTCTCATTTGGAATACATGTACTTCAGAGATCATCATATTAATAGCACTTCGAGCTGTTTGCAACTGTGTGGTAGTGCACAGCAGCCCGTTCTCTTACCCTCTAATTTTTAGAATCCAAAATTTTATACTTAGATGGCTTAAAAAGCTCTCACAGCACACAGGCAGAACCCCGCTTTAACAATCAACTGATCTTTAAAAGTATTTTGTGTCTGTGTGACTTTCACCAAATTTCTTAAACATCTTAGCTAACACATTTCCAATTCAAGTACTTCCAACAGTTCTCACTTTGCTAAGTACTTAAGCTTCACATTTGGCTCCTGTTGCAGAGTGACTTTTTGGAAACATGCAAAAACTGATGACTTTATACAACACATAAACCGTTTTAGCCCTTTTACACTTGAGGGCACAAGCCTGTCAAACAGGACCAAATGTGTTAAAACTCTGCCTGCAGTAGTTAACGATTACAAAGAAACACTTTACATCCTATGTTATTTTTCCATACAAAAATTTCTTTACACTGGATCTCCAAATAGTAGTTTTTTGAGACACAAAAGTGTGGTATCACTGTAAAGAGAATTTTATTTTCAGTTTGTAGAAGCCGGCACAAGAGCACACTGGCTAAAGACACTCCAGAATTAACACTGCCTCAGTAAACACATAGTAATAGTGAGATATACGTGCTTAGGCTAGTATCAAGAGCTCTCAAGGTCAATGTATATTTACAGCACACCTAGTGACAAAGTATATTTTCATCTTTCACATGCAGTACTAAATTCCTACAGGTAAGACTTCCATTACCTTTAGGTCCTGTAATAAAGCAAGAGGAAAATTTAGAGACAAGTACCTTACTGTCTAGTGTGATCTCCTTAATTGCTTCTGTTGCACCTACGATACCTGTTAACCAAACATGAAATTTGTGTTAGAAAGGCTTGTTTCTTTGTTACAGAACAGTATAGAAAGAGGTTGCAAAGATTTCCAAAAACAGTCCACGATCTTTCCAAGTTATATCTTACAATAATTTCGATATCTGAAGGGCTGTTTATCCCGTATTCGTAGCACGCTTGGTGTTGGACATCCATAAGCAAACCGTAACAGTAACGTGAGGCACTTCAGCACAGCTCTTGCACGTCATACAACGTTGATGGAATATTGCAAGGTAATTTGGATTTTTATTTTAGGGAATTTTTGCATAGAAGTGAGTTCAGTATAAGCATTAGCATCACAATAATGGAACTCAACTTCATAAGACATGCATTTATGAATATTTCTGAGCATCTTGAAAGCAACGTGTTCAGGAGAAAGCATAATGTAGCAGAACGTTCAATGCTTTTAGCTGAGAGGAAGTGGGAGTAAAGAACATCCCAAATCACAGTAGTATCAACTCCTGACTTCTTCACCATGAGCTTTCTTTCCCCATTAGTTTTACTGCAGATCCTACTCCATACTCTTTGTGGCACAGGGCAAGATTCTGCTTTGGCACAGTACATTAACTAACTTTTGAATTGAAAATTAGTTACATCTTACAGAGAGTGAACGTGGAATCAAGTAACTGCTCATCAGAAGCAACTGTTTAAAAGAAAGGAATGCCAGTTGCTTGGAAACAATGCATTTCTAGTAGCTGTGTCATCACTTAAGTATCTTTTTTCCTACCAGAAAAAGTGGTAGGACATCTATACAAATGGGTGGAAACAGATGTATTTATTTTATCTGCTTTGACAGTGCTGGCCAGGTCTAGTCAGAGTGTTATAGCTGTGCTACCACAGCATGATGCCCAAGCCAGTCAACCCTAAAAAGAAAAACTTGGCAGAGGAGTCTATCCATAGCAGGGATGGAGAATGCACCCTTAATTCAAAGCTACGATAAAGCCACATCAAAGGATTTCTTTGGTGTGGAGTGCTCAGTTACAAACTGTGATACATTTAAGAATTGCCAGTGATGAAGAATGTACATCTACAGAAACTAAAGGCAACTTCTCTCATCCTTCTGATCCCCAGTGTGTCTGAACTATTTAGAGAACTTCTTCACATTACAGCAAAAAATTTACAAGAAAGAAAGTGAAAACAGAATGGAGTACCTTATAAGTTTGGAAACAGCGTAAAAAAGCCCATCACTGAAACAATCAATTTCATTAACGCATGATAGAACATCAAGAAAGACTGAAACAAGTAAAATTGCCAATTCTTAGAAAAGACTAAAAGCATGTGTAAGAGGCTGTGCTAGAAAAGCTAATGAGATAAAACTCATGTAAGCAGTAATTTTTAGACTCCTTTATAAACAGAAGCTCATCTAAGGACTTAGTGTAAAAAAGCATCATCTCCTGCATTCACCTCTCTATTGAACAATATTTTCTTTCCTTTTTAATGCCTCCCTCCAGTGACCTCAGATACTAAGAAAATAGCTATTTTTTAATGACTGCTCCTTTTAGCTCAATCCAACAATTCAACAAAACGGGAACCACTGAAATAATTAACTCAGGTGAGGTCATCATTAAGATAAAGATCAATGTGCTTCACATGCAATCTTACTGAAAAAGAGAAATCTGCATATTCAAATAATTTAAACCAGCATCCTCTTCACATGATCTCCTTATTAATGAATGAGTCACTACACAGCTCATTTTAAAAAATAACTTCATAGAACTTTAATAAGGGAATATTGAACTGATTTATTGTCAATACCTGTAAGAAGTAGCTCGTTTCAGGCATATACAGACACATAGTTAAACACCTGGGCAGCCACGTACCAACCATGTAGGCTGCTGGTGACGTAACTTATTTCTTCCAGATTAGATACTAGTACACAGCCATCTATATATAAGGAAGATTTTACTTTCTACAAGTGGAAATTGAAAATCTTTCAGATTACCAAACGCAAAGGTTGAAGCAACGCTTGCAATACCTGCATTGTGAAAAGTGTCTACCCATCCCCCATCACCATCATCTTCTTCTATAATTGCTTCCTGCTCATCCGAGTACTCCATCTGCTTACACCTTTTGTAGCATGGCACTGCAAAAAATTACAAAACAAAATGAATGTAGTCATTCCTATCCAAAATTAGATTTGAGTAAGAAACTACCCTACAAGGCCTTCTGAAATGTGGCAGTCACTCCTATGTCCTTATTCAAGGAATCCTAAAGTTCTATTTCAAATGCAAAAAAAGCAGGAATTTGTGCACAGTACAACACTTGTGGTGGTCTTTTAAAAGTTCATTCTTCTGTTACCCATTTGAGCACCTTCATCCAAACTCTTTAAGAATTAGAAAAGAAGGGACTTCTCATTTGCTAACAACTAGAGACAATCTATTCGTTTTCTACACAGAGCTAAATAACTGTCAGTTTAAGTACAACTTTGCCTGGACTAGCATCATTTTACCAAAACAATATGTCTTTAGAATTCTGCTAGAAGTTTGCATCAGCTATTTATACAATATATGGTATGTTTAATTAGAAATGTTTAGGTATGTTTAATTAGAAATTAACACCCAGAAGTTGAGAAGAGGTTAGAATTAGTGTTATTTAGAATAACATCAGTCATATCCATTATAGAGACATTCAAGTTCAGATTTATACAGTTTTCTGAAAACAGACAAATAAAGAATTCAGATCTGATCAAGGCAGACATTTTCCATCATCATAAACAAGGACTAAGTAAAAAATGCTCCTTTTCCACTGATGTGAAGAAAAAAATCCCACCTTGCTGCATGAAGTGCAGAATCTGCAAATTTCTTAGACCTTTCATAAAGTGGGGGTGTGTGAAAGTCACAGTGAAGTTCTCCAAATGCTTCCAAAATGTGGTCTGTAGGATGGCTCCTGGCCTCACCCACAGCTTTTACTTGGGTGGTAGGCCAACGTGTCACCACCAGCAGGAAACACATTATTTTGAAATGTGATCTACAAAAATCAGAGCAATGAGGGACCCTTGAAGTGGGTGGAAAAGAGAAACAAAGTAGATCCCTTGGCCATCCAACCACTGGGACCACCTTAGGAAGGTCTGTGCAACACCACTATAAGCATTTTCACATGAGAGCACACTGCAAGACTCTAAAAGCCAGCAAATGAAATCCAAGTATAAAATACAACCTGATGAGGGTAAAAAAAAAAAAAAAAAGAGGACAGAAAGAAGGCAGAGTTACTGAATGCCTTCTTTGCCCCTGTCTACACTGTTGGAGGCTGCCCTCAGGTGCCTCAATCCCCTGAGGTCCCAGAGGAAGTCAGGATAAAGGAGGACTGGGTTAGGGATCAGTTTGAACACTTGAACATCCATAAATCCATGGGCCCTGATGGGATGCACCCACAGGTGCTGAGGGAGCTGGCAGGAGTCATTGCTAGGCCACTCTCCATCATCTTTGGTAAGTCGTGGGCAATAGGTGAGGTACCTGAAGACTGGAGGAAAGCGAATGTCACCCCAGTTTATAAGACGGCCAGGAAGGAGGACCCGGGTAA